AGTGACTTTCCGTGTCAGTCTTCGGCGTGAATGGAATCCACGTACGACAAGTAAAGAAGTTTTACCGTTTCGCCTCCGACTGGACGTTTTGTGGGAACCAAATGTGTGGCTAGTTTGATTTGGGTCCAGGCCTGCCTCTGTGTGCTGTGAGCTTGCCCACGGGTCCACAGCAACCAATCGTCACCTGAGCTTATTGTTGTTGTGCAGCAACGCGGCCGGAATTCAACTTGGTATTCAACCGGTTCCTGGTGGATCAGCAGTTCGGGCTTGAGGTGTTTGGCACCCGCTCAGTTGAGTTTGGGGTTTTTCAGATTATTGCACAATTATCTCTTCCTCCTAAAAAAAGGGCCCCTGAGGGGAGTTCGAACAATGGATACCTTGATTTCTGAAGGGAATTCGAGCATAAAAAGTCCTCCCACCCACACCCTGCACTCCAGCCCGCATGGTTCAGGTGCTGATGGCTTTGGTCGCTGGCGGCCTGGGCGCCGCGGTCCTCGCTGCGGGGCTCTTCGTACATCGCAACCAGCGCCTTCGAACAACGGCCCGCGCAAGCGGCGTGCAGGAGCCGAGCAGTCGGGAAGTCGCAGACGGGGGCGCTGGAAGCATGGGTGGTTGAAACGTGGAACCAGCGATTCGGGCGGAAACCGAGCTCACCAGGTTCTTTATTTGGGGATCCCGGATTCCTTGTTTCAGGTTTGGAAGTGTAGCGGTTGCAGATGCTTTCCACCTAAAACACCCTATGTGCACAAAACATGGTACATGTCCACCGAACAACGTGGAACCTGAGTGGGGGGGGTTCCTGGATTGGACAATCTTCTTTTAAAAGGGGGAGCGAGCGAGAGAGAGACAGAGAGTCTGGTGAGTTCCTTGTTGGCGGGTGAGTACGACAGTACAGAAATCCAGTTGCCAAGTTTGCCCTTTTTGGTTGTTTGGCTTCACTGGAAATGGTCAACCCCTCTTTGGGGGCCAGGGTGATACAATAGATATCTAAGAGGCCGTAAGCAGAGAAGTCTGGAGCGTGCGACAAAGAAGAAGGATTGCCCTCCCGACTAGCATGGAACCCACAAGAAGGCCCCGGAGAAGATTGTTGCTAGGAACTCCCAGGTTCCATGTTATGTAGGAGTGGAAGATTTTGGGCCCTTTCCGCTCTCGCAGGTCGCTCCGGAGGACAAAATCGAGGAAATCGCAGAGACAGTGGGGGCCTCGAGTGCTCCATGTGGCCAGGGTATCGCACCATTTCGGGTAGACCTATCTATTGACTTGGTTTCCTGATCTTTGGGTACGGACTGATGCAGGCAGATGACGCGACCACGCCAAAGGCGGAGGATCGCCTTCGCTCGACCCTCCGAGATTTGGGGGTGGAGGAGGCAGAGCTGAGGCGCGGTCTGCCTGCGGTTTGAAGGTTTCTTGCTTGGGGGTTATGTCTTACTTATTTCAGGTCCGTGAGTGACTATGACTATAGTTCATCCAGAGACGTAGACGTGTGGGGCTTGGTCGAACGCAAGCAATTGCCCCTCCTCGCTGCTTTCGGACTCGACCCAGCTTTCGAGGTTCGGTTTTTTGAGACGCCCCTCGCACGCCCACGTTGACGGCTTGCAAATTTCCCCGATGACGAGTTCCCATTCCTCGAATTCCTTGCTATGTAGGCTTTTGTTGTCGAAGAAAACATGTTCATGAGTTTTTCAAGCAGGTCTTTTGGCATATATACAGCAACGTGTCACAAATTAAACCTTTGAAAAGTTGAAAAGTTGAGAGTCTGGGTAGACCCCAAAGAAACTCATGTTTTGAATCCTTCCCTGTATTTGTCCAGTTGCACATAGCGAAATGAAGAACTCTGGCAAGGCAGTGGGATCTCGCGAAATGTGCAAGCCCTCAAGGCCAAAGGGGATGGGTTTGCAAGTGACACCGTCTTGCTGCCAAAGTACTGGCAAACACGCGCGACTGCCAGGGGGGGCATATGGGTGTATCTTGTTCGAGGCTGCCTTGTCCGTGGTGGTTTTTAAGGGAATCCATAAACACACACACACACACCCACACACCCACACACCCACACACCCACCCACCCACCCACCCACCCACGCACGCACGCACGCACGCACGCACGCACGCACGACGCACGCACGCACACATACGCACGCACAGACACACAGACACACAGACACACAGACACACAGACACACAGACACACAGACACACAGACACGCAGACACACAGACACACAGACGCAGACACACAGACACACAGACACACAGACACACAGACATGCATTTTGGGGTCCCCCCCATTTCAAGACACCAATCCATTGCAAAAATCCGAGTTGTGAGCAAACAGGCAGGCGCTGGCAGAGCGCGAGACCCTCGGCGCTCAGCTGGAGCAGTACCTTGGAAGGAGAGCTGCGAGTCATTTTGGCCGGAAGTCGAAGCGCTCTTGTTCCCGCACAAAATGTCTCTTAAGTTGTCCTTCGGGGCTGGTGCGTTTGGCAAGAGCGGCAAATATGTCCCAGAAAAGCAATGCAAGACTAAACAGTCGACTAGACCTACGTACGCGGCAGCTAGCTATGTGTTCCGTTTTCGGTGAGCACCGTCTTCACATTTCGACGCGTTTGAACAAGTTACAGCGAGCTCACCCAATGGACGATGTCAATTTGCGCAGTTCTCTATGCTCTCCGACTCCAGGGTTTCACGGCTGAGGCTTCGGAAAGCGCATTTTCTGCTGCAGCACCGGCTCATGAATGAGACAAGGCAGGAAGACATGGGAAAGACACATGTGTCAATTTGTTCCCTTGATGTTCGGGCTTGTGTGGGCTATTGCGCTGGGGATGTCTCCTCGGGGAGGGCCTGCCTCTCTGATGGCGTGTCAAAAATTTGCGCCCTTGCGTGCCGCGCAAGCAAGACCCTCAACAGCCCTGTTTAGGGCTTGGTGCCAAAGGGTCACTTGCACACAAGTCAGTCGTTCAGAGGGTGATGTGAAGTTTTCCAAATTCAATCTTGGCCATGAAACCCTTGGGCCTCCTCACGAAGACTACGTATCACCAGAATGCCAGGTTTCTTCCTTTGTGGATGATAACCTGCACGCCACAACCACAAACACCCTACAAACTCATAATCAATTTTCTGCTGGTCTGGTCAACAGTTTTTGCTTGATTCCAAAGCCGATCTATTGCATGCATGTCAGGTTCTGCCCCCTGTCAAACCTTTTTCGTGAGACTAAAGGGATCGCCTTGGTGTTTCACAAGGCCAGAACGCAGACCCCCTGTGTTTGCTCCCGTTTCGGAGATTGTCTCCCTGTTCTCTCTCAGTGAGGCTGCGAGAGGAGTTGCAGAGGACAGGGCCGGGAGAGTGACTCCACTGAAGCCGTCCATTTGTGGTTTTGGCGAGTTCCCAATTTGTTGGTTTCGGGGGGTGTTGTCACATGTTGTTCACTGCTACCCTGTTGAAACATGGGAGGTCGCTTGCTGACTTTGTGAATTTGTGCAGGACCCGCGTCAAGCAAAACGGGCGTGGCGCTGGCTGAAGCGAGCGGCCGACCGTGGCTGGCCATTCGATTGGAGTTCGGCCTGATAAAAGTCATGCATTTGATTTGTTTGTCTTACAAAAGTTACTAGCCATCATGGAAGCATGGCACATGTATCCTGTCTCGACCCTGGTTTAGGTCCCGTTTTTGTCGGACATACAGAACCTCCTGAAGGTTTCTGCATTCATAGGTTGGGTCCAACTTGATTCCAGTTGATAGAGATGACTTGCGCATGCATGGGTCTGGGAAGCTTGCGTTGGTTACTTCACGTTTCTTGTCAAATTTTCCCATGCCTCTTGGGCTCTTTGCAGCGGTGCGCTTCGCGTGCATACTGCGGAAGCAACGGAGCTGTTTGAAAGCAGTGGTTGTTGTGTTAATGGCGGAGCAAAGTTTGGCCCTTCTCCGGGAGCTGACACTGAAACTGCCTGAGTTGTGTCTTTGTCGTTCTCACTTGTTCAGAGTCCGAGATGGCCGTTGCTTGGTGACTTGAGCCCCAAACAAAGTCAAGAGCAAGGCGTCACTTTGGTCAGCGCTGGTCTCCATGGCTGTGGGAATGAGAGCTCCGGTGTCCATAGGACTTCGTCACTTACAAGGTTGTGTTTTGGGTACAGAACATGCGCAATGCATTTCCCACAGGCCCGCGACAGGTCATTGTAGAGTCTCACCTTTCCGTCCCGCCTGCCTCGAGGGCAGGGGAAAGAAGATGTGCGCCTCGTCCATGGGGGGGTGCTTGGGTCGTGCTTGCCACTCCGCCGAGGTCCAGCTCACAAATCAAAGGGATCCAAACCCAAGACTCGTCACTGCCAGATTTTGGCCATCCATGTTATACAATGTTTCAGGGACTTGGGCCGTGCGCGAGGTTTTTGTTTGACAGCGAAACTGCGCACCCTTGCTGGCATTTGTAATGTGCAGTGCTTTTGCTTGTCCTATGGCCCTGCATTTGTAGTTTGCTTACGAGTGAGCTGTGCTGTCTTCGGTCTGGGGGGATTGTTGAAGGTCAACTGCCAGCTTTGATGACCGAAGCGCATTTCAAAGTCTCGAAGATTTTCGCTTCATGCTGGATTTGGCCTTTGAGGTTTTTGACTAGTGACCAACATGAGATCAAGATGCCTCAGCCCCGGCTGAACTGCCAATTTTACCTATAAGCAGCCATGAAGCTCGATGTCTCCAAACTTTCCGCTTGGCACCCAAGCGGCCTCCCCTTTGTGTTCAACGCACGAGCGCAACCAAATGAGAAATCGAGGATCTTACTAGGTGGGTAGCGGAATCGGAATATTTCCCATCTGCTGCTGTTACTCAGCAGCGCCAAGTTCATCACTTGTGACCACATTTGGGGAGGTTCTTGACAAAGAGCATTTAGGAGTTGATTGAAGCCAACCGAGCATACCTGACCATGCTCCCGTGTCCAGATGTATTTTGTCTAGCATTTCGTTCGGCTTTGGTGTGGCCCCCAAAGCCGGGTTGGGCCCCCAAACCTGGGGCCGCAGATCGTGGTGGACTGCCGGGGCCACCTCTTGGGGCGGCTCGCCTCAGTGCTGGCCAAGGCGTCCACAACGCGAGTCGGCCGACGCGTCTTGGTTTTTAGGGTGCCGGGGGCGGATTAATTAAAGGAAAACCAAGAGGAAGCCACCAATTTGAGGATTCCGCAGATTCCCTATTTGGAGACAAACCCCTTTGGCGAGCTCACTTCGGGAGACGGCTCACCATGTTGCTCCTTCACTTGGGGAGCTTTGGAATCTAGGTGCCAAGAGGCCAAGAGGCCAACGCCTCAGATTTCCCAAAAAGCAAGCAAAGAAGGGGGTTCCCGACACTCACCCTGTCCATTCAAACGCCAGTCATTTGTTTGGTTCCCGTTTAAAGAGGCATCAGGCTTCTGGTTGTTCGACCCAGCTTTGCAACACCCTGGGAGAGTACTTTTGCCCTCTATGCGACTTCTTGTAAGCCCGCCTGGAAATATAGGAAACGCAGGCATGCGTTAGTACTTAAAGAAGTAGTGCCCCCTTTTTCACGGCAAGCTGATTGTGTTATTTGATCATCCCCAGACTCGGCGCCAACGTCGTCAAAGAGCAATCCACTGCAGGAGCTGCTGAACGGTCAGCATGTGATCTGTGTGCCGAGACCCCGGCAAATCCAAGCGAGAAACCAGAAACAGCGGCAGGCATGTACCAGTGACGGGGGGAGCCGTTTGCCGGGCCTTTAGGACATCTTGCTGTCTTTCTTGCACTTGTGCTACACTGATAGTATAAATCGTGTAAGTCCTATTTAAGTCCTGTTTGTAGCGTTGCATGTTGACCAGGTTTGTGGGTCGAACTCGATTTCCCAAGGTAGCAAAGTTATGGCTTATCGTCAGGAATCAGGGTTGCCTGGCAATAAAAGACAATGTAATGCTCCGTTTATTTGCGCATATTCTCGTAAGCTACCCTTGAACACATGCTCTCACTCAAAGCGGCGAATCCTTCTGTTGGGGCCACTAGATGCTTTTTCTTCCTGTGATTTGCACAGAACTATGTCATTTAAGCACTCGGCGCTTGTGGGAGTGGTCAGTGGCATCTCGTTGGAACCTTTATTTGAATAGAGGCTCCAAGGTTGACTCGATGGATTACCGCCAGAGAAACAGGAGCGAGCCCAGGTGTGAATTTGAGGCACAGGTGCACCGCGCACAAACATAAGTACGATGGAATCCGATTTGAACCAAGGGCTTGATAGAACCAGGCCACGGGTTATGATTCGCTTGGTTTCCTGGGGTTTGGGATGGAGCTCGGAGTCAGTGGTCCCCATCCCCTCCAGTTGATTCAGAGCCAATTTAAGTCATGGCCCTTACTCTGGAATGGCCCCTCAGGTGGCCTTGGCTCTGCCTTTTTCCTCTGACTATACTCGCCAGGTCAACGGGAACAAGACTACGTCACATTGAGCGAACGGTGGCTTTAAGACTACTGCGGGAAGTCCAAAATGGGGCCAACAGAACCCTGACCCAAAACGGAGGTTCTTCCACACATGTGCGATCTTGAGTCCCATGCCGATTGTTTGCCGGGCACACTAGTGTGACCATTAGCCTCATTGACCTTTACATGCCCCAAGATCAATACTCACGAAAGCGTGGGCCTATACATGCCAGTGACCTAAGTGTTGCATCCCAAATGATAGACACCAAGCTCAACAATTCAGGCCGTTCTTGCGTGTGCTCGCAAGAGTGCTCGCAAGAGTGCATCCGGGCCTACTGGAAACGAGGCGTGCGGAGGACATCAACATCTCCGGATCTTTGTACCGCAACAAGTTGAAGTATGCGCCTTGCCAAGCAACAAGGCGGGACAGCTGCAGGATTGGGAAGCGAATTTACATACGACCAATCAGATTCTTGTCGTCCGGCATTTGTCTATTATTGAACCATGAGACATAGTTAATCAACCCATGAGCCAAGTGGATGCCCAGGGGTTCAATCTGGGGAGGACAATGAGATGCAGGATGGGCACTTTACCTTCTGACATTTGCCGTGGTTTCGCCAGGGGGGTCCGCGAGAGGCAAGCTTCCTAAACTTCGCAAGCGAGCTCGCTCATCATCAAGGTCCGGCATGGCAATCCTTTATAATTTTCTGACTTATGCCAAACGTGTGCAACATTTTGCACAGATAGCCCCAAGCCAAAAAGCAAAGAAGCAAAACAAAGCACCGACCTCTAGGGGAACCTTCAGGAGCTTTCGGGAGCCCTGAACCCAAAGACCCGAAGCTTCCCACTTACCCGAGGCCAACTTCCGAAGGAAGCACATGAACTCCAACCCCAAGCAGGGGCCCTTGCACTACCGGTCCCCCTCGAAGATCCTTTGGCGCGCCTTGGTACGGATTCATTGGGCAAGAGGCCACTATTGAGTCACGAAGCGGGCCTTGTTCTTCTTATCCTTTTCCGGTTATGTGTTTGTTTGTTTTGTTTTTTGTTTGGTTTGTGTTTTTGTGTGTGTGTGTGTGCAAGTTTTTGCTCGGCCAAGGGTAGGGCACATCCCTGTTAAATATGTTGCCCTTTGCTAGGTTTATGGTTCTAGCCAGCAGGAGGCCAGCAGTTTGCCCATTCATTGTGTTCATTGCTTGTTCACGTTCAATGGTTCCTTCATGCATGCATGATTTCATTGTTTCATCGACTCATTGAACGCTTGAAAGGTTGATTGACCGCTTGTTTGTCCGATTCGCTGCACTGCGGTGGGCCCGGGCATCCTTTCAGAGCCAAACCCGAAGACCCCCACAGCAAAGACACCATTGCAGGCACACCAGCACTTATTTTTGGATGACATCTTTTGACCGCTTCAAGTGCGACTGTCGCACCATTTCCCATCAACCCAGGCCGCATCAATGTCTTTTCGGCACAGACCCGCGTCGGGATCCTTTAATTCCGCCTTTCCCTCAGAGCCAAACTCAAGATCGAGTAGAAGCGCTGGGATAGGTTAGGAAAGCCTCTGCATACGATGGCCCAATGGCCTCAGTGCCTCAAGGCACCATCCGGGGCATGGTGCCCCACAAGACGGCCCGCGGCAGCGCTGCGCTGGACCGGCTGAAGACTTTCGAGGGTATCCCCCACCCCTATGACGCTTGGACGTTTGAGTGCAACCAACCAACCAACCAACCAACCAACCAACCAACCAACCAACCAACAAACCAACCAACCAACCAACCAACCAACCAACGAAAGCAAACCAAACGAACCCTACAACCCAAAAACCGAGGGGGGGGGGGAATCCAACCAACACAACAACCAAAACAAGCAACAAAACAAGCAAGCAAGCAAGCAAGCAAACACAAGCAAACACAACCAACTAAACAAACAAACACAAACCAACACAAACAAACAGAAAGTAAATAAATCAAGAAACAAAGCAGCAAGACACAAATAAGTAAACGTAGAACTAACCGAGGGAGAATTATCAAAGACAGAAATTAATATCAAAGTAAATACAGAAATAAACATGGAAATAAGTCTAGAAAGACAAGTCAAGACATAAGGAAAGACAGCCAAATAACGACATGAAGGAGGGAAGGAACAATGTGAGCAACAAATACATAAATGCAGAAACTAGCCGTTACAGAAATAGCGGGGGAGAAAAAAAGGAACAAACTAAAATAAAGAACGGGAGACAGACACACAGGCGGAGACAAAGAGACAGACAGACAGACAGGCAGGCAGGCAGGCAGGCAGGCAGGAAGGAAGGAAGGAAGGAAGGAAGGAAGGAACAAGGCTGAAAGGATGAAAGAAATAGATAAAACAAAAAAGCAAACAGAAGGAAATAAATATAAATAAAGGAGGACAAAAAGCAATAAAGCAACACAACGCATGGCGTCCCTTTCAAAAAAAGGAAAAAACAACAACATGCGCACACACACGCACACACATACGGACAAACTAACACACACGCACACACACACACACACCTTGACTCGGCGGCTTCTTTTGGTTGGTTGGTTGGTTGGTTGGTTGGTTGGTTGGTTGGTTGGTTGGTTGGCTAGCTGGATTGTTTTTGTTCGGCGCCACTCTCAAACACAATCCAAACGGGGTCCACCCGTTTGGGACTAGAAATGCATATAAACATATCCGCTTTGGCCCCCTTTCTGATGCTTCTGACCGCTCTCCTTTTTGTGACACATTGTAGGAACTTCATGGATTCCACAGTGTCTTGTTGAAGATGCTTCTCGTATCTTTTTTTTTGGGGAGGGGGGAGCCGGAGTTTTTATTCGGTTTGGCAAAAAAGGCCAACAGATGAACGCCGGAACCCTGAGTCCGTTTGGCCGTTGGTTGAGGGGTGACGAGGGAGAGCTTTGGGGGTGAGGGTATTGTCTTAGCTTTCCCGTTCATTCATCCAATGGCGATTCACGCATATTGGCGATGTGTCATTTACTCCTCCCTCTACCGGAAGCCGGAGAGAGGCTTGCACATGTAGTTCACCTTTCGTTGCCAGGGTATGATTGGATGATTGGCTTCCCTTCCACCCTAGTGCATACTCTGATGAATGGATTCAAGCACTAAGAGTGGCGCCTTATTGCAAAAGGCGGTGAACCGCAACCCTTGCTGCTTTGAGAGCTTTGGGGCAATGTCACATGGCTCCGGTCGGACTTACCAAAGTTTGCTTTGCCTTCCACTGAGCCATCGGCAAAGCTTCAGGTCACTCATCAGGAGACATTGTATGCCATGCGGATTTTAGACCATGGCAAGTGGATGCTGAAGCGCTTAAAGGCAACACACAGCATCTGGCGGTGTGTCAGAAAGCCAGGGGCCCATGGGCCAACCATGAAGAATGAAGATATCCTGTTTTTACCAGCCAATGCCAGCAAGCGCAACTTGACAGCAGCACGCAATTGTTAGCTTCCCAAGAGCCTGGGCAGTAGAGGGCTGCCACAGTGGCGACCCGATGTGTTTTGGCGGGGTCTAGACGGACCAAAGTTGAGGCGGAGTGTGCAATAATGGGAGCTCTGAGGATTGGGGCTAACATCAAAGCCACCTTTCAAAGAGGGCCATGGCCTTGCCTTCTCAGTCGTTGTCCCTCCTTTGGTCGATTTTTTGAACTATGCCGGCACCTTCGAGCCTGAGCTCCCGACCAGCCCGCGGGAATGTGGCCCGGGAATCAGTTTCAGGATCTTCTAGAGAATTCCCACGGCCCCCTTGGTGAGGGGAGATTCATCCACAATGACTATGATTCCCCTTGGTGTCAAGGATATGTCGGTAACTGCAGGGGCCCCTCTTGGTCGGCAGTCTGGCACGATGCAGGGGACCCGGGAGCCGTCAAAAAACAGCGATCCGAGGATCGAAAGAAGCGCATGGTGGTGCAGGGGCCCTGGTGGTAGCTGGTGGTAGCTGGTGGAATGTTGGTAGGGCCGGCAGGCATGTTTTGCGGCTGTCGCAAGGGCCCCTCTCAGGGAAGCATGGCTTCCCATTTTTGGCGCCCCACACTTCGTGATGAACACCTCAACCTGCATACGTGGATACAAACAAACAGAAAGAGTTACATGCATACACGCCGCGCTGTTTTTTTTTGGTTTCCCTTTAAAACAGTGCAACAAGCCGGGCACCTCCAAAAAACAACACATACAGACATATGCACATACATACATAGAAACAATGATGCACATGTTTGTTTGTGCAAACATGCAAACATTCACGTTTGTACACATGTGCGTATCGATTCATGTACTCGCTCATTTGTTTCTTTGTTTATTCATCCATGCATGCATGCATGCATGCATCCATCCATCCTTCCTTCCTTCCTTCCTTCCTTCCTTCCTTCCTTCCTTCCTTCCATCCTTTCATTCATTCATTCATTCATTCGTTCGTTCATTCATTCATTCATTCATTCATTCATTCATTCATTCATCCTTTCATTCATTCATTCATTCATTCATTCATTCATTCATTCATTCATTCATTCATTCATCCTTTCATTCATTCATTCATTCATGCATTCATTCATGCATGCATTCATGCATTCATTCCTTCCTTCCTTCCTTCCTTCATTCCTTCATTCCTTCATTCCTTCCTTCCTTCCTTCATTCCTTCCTTCCTTCCTTCCTTCCTTCCTTCCTTCCTTCATTCCTTCATTCCTTCACTCCTTCATTCATTCACTCATTCACTCCTTCATGCATTCACTCATGCACTCATTCACTCATTCACTCCTTCACTCGTTCACTCGTTTGTTCGTTCGTTTGTTCGTTCATTCATTCATTTATTCATTCATTCAATCGTTCATTCATCCATCCATCCATCCATTCATTATTTCATTCATCCATTCATCCATTCATTCACTCACTCACTCACTCACTCACTCACTCACTCACTCACTCACTCATTCATTCATTCATTCATTCATTCATTCATTCATTCATTCATTCATTCATTCATTCATTCATTCATTCATTCATTCATTCATTCATTCTCATAGATTACAAAAGCACCCCCCCCTGAAACCCCCCCCCTTCCAGAGTAAGGCCAAATTAAGAGCACACATAAAAGGAAGGCCTTATTAAGGACTTAGTAGGAACTTATTAAGCCCTTATTAAGGCCTTAATTTGGCCTCAAAATTAAGGAGGAATTAAGGCCAAATTAAGACCAAGTTAATTCTTGGAAATTCACCCTTGTGGACAAATTAAGGCCAAATTAATGTTTTGTTTGTGCACCAATGACTCAAGCCAATTCAAGACAACAATGCAAATTGTAAAACAGACTTAAGGCAAGACTGAGCTCAAACGCGCCAGCCTTTCAAACGTGCTAAATGAAAACGCGATGTCCTGATTTACGGGTGCGTGCCTACGGTGTATTGGGTTGGGAATCACGCCAAGCTACTGTAAAGCAAAATTATGGCCAAATTAAGGCCAGATTAAGGCCAAAATAAGATCAAATTAAGGCCAAACTAGCGCAAATGCCTATGGTATTTTGGTTTAAGCACAATTAAGGCAGATTAAGGTCAAATTAAGGCCAAATTAAGGCCAAATTAGCGCAAATGCCTATGGGAGTTGGGCTCAAGCAAAATTAAGGCCAAACTAAGGCCAAATTAGGGTCAAATTAAGGCCAAATTAAGTCCAGATTGGCGCACATGCCTAATGCAGCAAACATATGGCTCGAAATAAGGCAAGAGTAAGGCAATCGTAAAGCCCAATTCAAGGGAACACTGAAAGCGCGCCTAGGGAATTTGAAGAAACAGAAACTGAAAGCCAAACTGAAGTAACATGAAATCCAATCGGCGGGCGGGTTGGCTACCGAGCGCCGATGGCTTCAGGAAGTTGCTTCAAAAAATAGCCCCTAATAAGCCCTAATCAGCCCTTATTTATTTTGGGGGGGTGGTTCAAAGGGGGGCTGGTTTGGAAACTATGACATTCATTCATTCATTCATTCATTCATTCATTCATTCATTCATTCATTCATTCATTCATTCATTCATTCATTCATTCATTCATTCATTCATTCATTCATTCATTCATTCATTCATTCATTCATTCATTCATTCATTCATTCATTCATTTTCATCATTTTCATTCATTATTTCTTTATTTCTTGCTTTCTTTCTTTTTGTGTTTCCTCTTTATTCCACTTCATGTGATGTCATGTCATTTCATGCCATTGTATTTCACTTCACTTCGCTTCATTCGTACGAACAGCTACACATGTACACACCTGAAACAAGAGAGCGGTGGCTACGATTTTCGATCCAGGCCTAGCTGCCTGAAGGTGCTGCGCCTGCGCCCCGAGCGCCGGTTCTGCCGGCTGGGGGACTTGTCCCAGCAGGCGCACCGCGAGTTCCGGAAAAATATCTGAGTTTCAAATTTGTTGGTTTTTGTTGCTTTTGGTGCTTTCGCGATTTCTCATTTCCGGCCACTGCTTGGATGGAGTCACCATGTTGGGAGGACCCATGTGATCCAAAGGGCAGGCGTTGTCCGCTACTTTTTCCCAAGCAGCGTGTCTACACTAAGGGGTTCTTAGGGGAAGAGTGAGGGTTTCATGCGCATTTCGACTTCGCAGTCTCGCACAAAGTGGTGGGTCGAAGTTGCCGTCTTTCGAGGGTGTGCTCTCGCTGTGGTGCCGTGTGAAGCCCTTTGTGGACTTTGGTCGGGTCGCTCTCGCTGTGGGGCGATGCGAATCCAACCCTCTGCGGAGTTCAGGGTGTGAAATCGCTGTCGCTGTTGCGCGGTGCACATGTTGAGCGGACTTTGTGGGGGTTGGATTGTGAACCTGGAACGTGGCAAGTGGGTGAACCCTCTGCGGACTCTGGGTGGTCGGATCGTTCTGGCCGTCGTTTTTGGATCATCGCAAGCGGGCCCTCTGCCAACATTCGCGTGGCTCGGATCGGTCTCCTTGTGGCGCGGTGCAAATTTTGAACATTGAAAGTCAGCCCTCTGCGAACTTCGGTTGGGTCGGAACGCTCTCGTCGTGTCCTGCACGCAAATCTTACCATCCTACGAAGAGATCCAATCCAGAGATCCTGCGCAGAGATCATGTAAAAGTCCTGGCGCAGAGATCCTGTAAAAGTCTTGCAAGGAGACCGGTCCCTTGAGCTAGAGATCCTCCAGAGATATTGCGCGCTGGTCTTGCATAGCGCCCCCTCAGCAAGTCTTGCGCAGGACCTGCTGAGGTTTCACGAGAGATCCAAACAAGCCAGCGAAGCCGGCGGGCGGAAGTTTCAAAAAGTATAAACAGCTATTTTTCATCTTTCTCCTTCTTTTCATGATGGTTTTTTTCTCTTCTTCTTTCTCCCCTGTGGTTTCCAGCATTTTGTTCTTCCTTCCTTCCTTTTTTCTTGCTTCCTTCCTTCCTTCCTTCCTTCCTTCCTTCCTTCCTTCCTTCCTTCCTTCCTTCCTTCCTTCCTTCCTTCCTTCCTTCCTTCCTTCCTTCCTTCCATCTACATGTTATCTCAATCTCTCTCTATCTCTCTGTGTATCTACCTATCTGTTTCTCCCTTTCCCTCTCATCTATCTACCTATCTATCTACCGCGCTCTCTCTCCGCCAAATCCATCTACTTATCATTCTATCTATCTATCTATCTATCTATCTGTCTATCTATCTATCCAGCTACTTGTCTATCTAACCAAATATCCCTCTCTTTATCTGTCAACCTAACTATATATCTGTCTTTTTCTGTCTTTGTGTATCTACTTTCCACATGTCTGTCTATCTACCGATGGAACTTGCGAAAGTGCCGCGCGTGCCGCGAAATCTGTACTTGACCTTGTGAAGGAGCTGCGCCTGCCACAAAATCTTGCGAAGTGCAAATCTGCACTGACCTTGTGAAAGTGCTGCGCCTGCCACGAAACCTATTGCGAAAGTGCTGCGCCTGCTGCGAAATATGCGCTTAACCTTGCGAAAGTGCTGCGTTTTTCAACCACTGTTTAGGGTCACTTGCCAGGATAATTGGGCCGTTGCACTCAGTACGGCGAATAGCTTCTGAGGAGGCAGAGGCAGACGCACCCTTGGATGAACAAGTGCCAGTTGAGCGTGACTGACCTGGGGAGGGAATGTTGGTTACAACTTAGCGGCCTGGTCCACAACCAGTGCTCTTCAGCAGGTGGGGTAGGCCAAAATTGCAGGAGATCAGAGACTCTTTGCGGCGAGCACTCAGTTCTTGTTTTTGGTGACTGCGTGGCAAGTTGCTTGGTGCAAGTGGGTAGGTAGGTCACCACTAGTGTGCAGCATTAATGTAAACCATGTCTTACCAAGCTTGCCAAGCTGAGTACGTGAGGTTGAACAGGTTTCTGGCTGTAATTTTCCGGTGCTTGTCAGGGGCTTCATTCTGCGCAGCACCGCTTGGTTGTTAGGAGCTGGTCGAAAGTTTCTGGCTTGCGGGTTTGAACTGGGCACCCCTGCAGATGCCAACCAGCGCTGGAATACTACATGGTCTTACGGCTTGGTGAAACTGTTAGTGGGTGACGGCACGGTCCAAGGTTAGCAGCGTATGAACAGACCAACCTTTGCTCGTTTCGCCGTGCAAGCGTTTTGGCTCGCTTCACTATTTTGTAGTGTTGCAGCCAAGACGGCGAGCATGCCTCGCATTGCTAGGATATATGCAGCACAGGTAGGTTTTTGCCCCGACCTGCTTGGACTGAAGGACTGGTGGCGGGTTTGCGGTTGGGCGTTTGGGTTTGATGAGGCCGGCCCAAGCTCTAGATTTTCCGAAATATGTTAGCATCGGCCCCGGAGAAGAGCAATCAGGACTTCTGTTGTTCGTTATCAACTTACTTACACCTGGTTGTTCAATGTTGATGCATCTTTGCCATCGCCTGCAAACAGTAGTGGCGCTTTTGATTTCTGGGGCCCTTGACACAGCAAGCTTGGACCACCAAAGAAGAGGCCGCATGGACCACATGACTGGGATCCGGGATGGCAAAAGCGCCCGGAAAGCAGTATGATCCTGCGCCGAACCACCGCAAACCTCCCCAAGCGATAGCATTTTTGTGGCTTTTCAGTGTTGGGGGGGGATCTCGGAGAGGTGGCTTGCAGGGTTCTGAAACTGTCCTGAACCACCAAGATTCACCAAGCTTGTCTCACATGACGTCTTTTCACGCTTTAAACTAACCCCACGAAGGGTGCTCTCAGGACTCAACTCTCAACAAACATGCTCCCCCTTTTTTCCTTTCACTTGGCATTCAACTTGAGGACTCCCGGATCTACGGGTCCACCACTTTATGCAAGTCTCAGCCTGGTCCGTGCAAGTTTGAGCCCTGTGCAGCAGAGGAGCCGTCCGGGCCGATTTTCGTTTCTTTTCTTCTTCTTTTTTTCCACACGACGCTTGTTGCGTTCGCAAAAGGCTTGGGCACGTTGGTCAAAAAGATCTTGTTTCCATACGGAGTTTAATGAGGGTCCATAGTTTTGACCTCGGCTTTCTCGCCACGCAGTTCGTTCCCATGTTCCCATCTGTTTCATGAGCTGAGCAATCCAGCGCGCGAAAGAGCTTCTTGAAACGCGTTGAAACGAACCCTGAGATAGACGGTAGCTTTGGGCATCTAGCATTGCGCCAAGGGAGTCTTTGTTTAAATTTTAGGGAAAGCCCCGAGACCCAAAAGGCAACCAACAACCAGGGGAGTGGACATGGGCCCGTGTTCACGCTGGCTGGAAGTTTAGTAGATCTGGTGTCGGCCGAGACAAGCGTGCAGCTTCCCCGAATTTTCCCGCTGGAACTCTGGCTCTTTTTGGAAGGGAAGTACAGCTGGGTCTTCCCCGGTTTCGTCACAGGGGTTTTGCCGGATTGGTTTCCCCTTGGTCATTCCGTAACTTCTTTTGAACCTGCTTAAGGGCGGCACTCGGAGAGCTTTGCACTGTGAAGAGTCGAGGCACAAGCCAATGAGTCTCGACTCTCGTCATTACTGGTCATAAACGGGGTTGGCACCAGACATGCAACAGACGCAGCCACATTTAAGCCTGTCATTCCTGTGCTGTGACTCTTCAGCTTGTTTGAAGTGTTTGTGCGTGTTGGGGGGTTTCAAGGCAACATGTTTGCTCGGCCTTGGCCCCTTCACTTTCGGAAATGCAGCATTTGTCCGCTAGCCAGCCGACCGCGGTTGTGTCTTGCGCAGGGGAGCATTCCCACATATTCTTTAGCTTCATACCTTGCGCCAGGACAAGATTTCGGAGATCGATGATTTTCCTATAAGCGCCCGCTTGGCAGCATCGCAACCAGCGAGAGCAAAGCATGCCGATCTTCCATACCATCAGGCGCCACGGGCTTGCCGATCCGAGTTTCTGGCTTTGGGTTTCGTACGCACCGGTCGCATCATGTCGCATCCCCCTTTGCGGACCCTCTTTTACAACTATATCTTTTGTGTACCCCCGTGCAACCATCATGAACTGTCTGCCTTGTTTCTATCAGTGTGCAAGTGTAAATCAGTACTCACACAAGGATTCGATCAACTGCCCCCTGAAGGAGCATGAGTCTTATGAGCGACATTTTGTGGCCAGGCATCAGTGATATTCCCGTCTAACATGGCAGACTGGGCATTCATGAGTGACCACTTCCTAAACTCTTGGTTCCATGTTAGCGGTTGAGAGGGCCCCCCATTTTTCAATGGAGGGCGAAGGACAAGAAGGATGAACAGAGCAAACTCCGTCCCCACATAATTGCGAACCCCCTTGATAAGGGCAGGATTGCAAGGTTCCGGCGTGGTATGTGTATTTTGTCCATGACCGTGCCATATCTTGAAAGCTATGCGTGTATTTCCAGATTGCCAGCCAAAGCGCACCTGCTCACTGGAAATTATAACTTTCAGCATGAATGATCGACTCCAAAAGGAGTCGACAGTGACCAAATTCACGGGCCCAGCTCCTTTGTGTTTCTGGCCTGCATCTAGTGAACATTCATGAACACTGATTGCCGGGAAGAGGCTTCACGCCTCTGGCCCTTGACCTTTTAAAGGGTTCCTGAATTTTGGCGCACCACAACTCACTAAAAGCTGACTCTCTTCCCAAAATTCAAAGGGGTCAGCATAGATTGCCCAACCCCCCAACTTGTACTTCTCCAAATCGAACCTCCACACGGCACAGCATCACATTTGGTTGAGAATGCTCGGGCCCCAACACTTCCACGGTGGGCTTCCTGCATTTTCTAGGGTCCGAAGCTAAACCCCGGCCTTCTCGCCCCGGCGTGCGTTTCCGAAGGCGCGAGTGCTGTGCACGCGGCTGAAATTTGGAAAGCGGCGACCTTCGAAGCCACTAGACAAGCTCACTGGACCCTCCCACATCCAGGCGCGGGTTGGCACCGTTTGGAAGAACCGTTTTTGGGCCGAAAAGCGTAGGAGTT